TCTAGGCAGTCCTAATCAACCTACTGAGGTTAAAAGGAATTGAGGGTTGGTTTGCCCATCCCTAAGGAGTACATGGATGTGCCTATTTATACCTCATTGAGAGGGTCAAGGCTGGTTCCTGGGCCTGCGCACTCATTGACCCTTTCATACCTGTGAAGGATGACTAATAAGGCCTTAGCCATCAGGTGGTGACTTGATTGACTCAAATTATCATGGAAAAGAAGAGCAGAGAACAGGCTGGTGAGAAAGAAGGAAGAGGAAGAGAGGAAAGAAGGAAATGGAAGGGAGAAAAGGTAAGAGATGAGAAGGCCCACGTACATCCTCCAGTCCTGGAGCCATTAATGATAGTCTGACAGAACGCATGCCAATAGCATGTACTCCCAAACATAGAGCTGCAAAGGTAGCCCCGAAAGGCTGGCAGAACCTATTAGCTAACCGCAAGACCCAAGGGGAAATTAGAGTCACATGGCCTAGCCAGCGAGGTAGAAGACAGACTTGTGCCTCTTAGCTCCAGAGGGCAGAAGGAGGAACAGTTCTAAGTAGCAGAGAAGGTTCCAACCTGCAAAGGTGGAATTGGCAGAGGCAAGGTTAGGCCTAATGTCAGGAAGAACTTCCTGTTCCAAAGTGTGATGAGCTTCTCCTTCTTGGAAGGCATAGAGCAGAGGTCACTTGTCAGGAGGATGACAGTGGGAGCTCATTTGGTGTATGGGCTGGCCGCTGAGGTCCCTCCCAGCCACCAACCTCTGTGAGTTTGACCTGCCAGAGCCTGTGATTCCCTTACAGAGCCTTCAAGAACGCAGGTCGCTTGCATGCTGTGACGAGGCACTGAAGCAAAACTTCAGTAGGAGTCTATCACCTTTATTTGAAAGCAGCAACCAAATCTGTGGATAGCTCCTCCTGAAGGCATCAGTTAAAATGCCATAGGAGGCAAAAAAAAAAAAGGCTGCATAATTCAGTGAGCAATTCCAATGTTTCTTTCCCTCTCCTTCTACCTCTCTTTCTCCATAGGAAATAAATGTTTTCCAAGAAATGGCCCCCAAAAAGCTTCAAGTATTTGCTATTAGTAGTGAAATTACTTTGTTCTCTTATGCCATTTTCTGATGTTCTAAACCCTTCGTATTACAGATGATATAGAAGCAAGGTCCCAAGAGATGGTAACTTGCCCAAGGTGTCATAGTCAGTGCAAAATAAGGATGGAAACCACAAATTTGCAGACCTTCAACCAATACTCTTTCCATCTTGCCACACTGTATCTTAAATATATGTGTTTAGTCAATTTTAGGAGGAAGCTAGGTGACTCAGGGGATAGAGTGCTGGGCCTAGAGTTAGGAAGACCTGAGTTCAAATCCTGCCTTAGACACTATGATCCCGGGCAAGTCACTTAACCTTTGTTTGCCTTAATCCACTGGGAAAGGAAATGGCAAACTACTTCAGCATCTTTGCCAAGAAAAACATGGACAGTATGGCCCATAGGGTCACAAAGAGTTGAATATGATTAAAGAATAGTTAATCAAATTAAATTAATCTATTATAAGTAATTAATTTAATTAATCAAAGAATATTTAAATATACGAGCTTACATCAATAACAACCTAGGAATAAATCACTCCAGTCCCAATGTATTTTGATCCCCTCTCCCCACATCATCATCATCATCATCATCATCATTATCATCACAGCTAACATTTATATAGTGCCAGGCACTGTATTAAGCACTATATAAATATTTCATTTGATTCTCACAACAATTCTGCAATGTAGGTGCTATTATTATTATTCCCATATTACAGATGAGGAAACTGAGGCCAGCAGAGGTTGTAAATTCTGCAATGTAGGTGCTGTTATTATTATCCCCATTTTACAGATGAGGAAACTGAGGCCAGCAGAGGTTGTGACTTCTCTAGTGTCATATAACTAGTGAGTGTCTGAAGCTAAATTTGAACTCAGGTCCTCCTGACTTCAGGCCCATCACCCAAACCACACACCATCTAGCTGCCCCTGCAAACACATCTTCACATTCTCACACTGCCCTTGCCAAGCTTGCATAGCAAAAGGAAAATGATGAATAGGGGAGGTTTACCTTTCTTTGTACCTCTTCAGGTTGTTTTGAGGCTCACTGAGATAAGGTATATCTGGCACTCACAGCTACACCACTAGGCTGAGGCCACAGAGATTGGCAACGGTCCCCAATCACTGTCTTTTCCCTGCCTCACAATTCTTTACTCTGAGTTGGCCATCTCCTCAGGAGGGGAACAAAGCTCCTAGTGCTTCAGTTCCACCCCCACCTCAGATTCCTTGAGAATGACTCTGTTTAGATGTCCAATTCAAGGGGTCCTCCCCAGTCAGGGAGTAGAAGGGAAGAAGTAGTAAGAGGTACCCAGGGAACGAATATGAATCAGGCATGGAACAGGCAGTTTTAATCCCACAAAGCAATAAAGAATTCTGGTATAACTACAGTCAGTTGAGAGGCTAATATACAAGCCTCACTGGGGCATTTGCAGCAGGGCTGCTCATTAGCCCTTTTTACATTTCATCTGCATGAATACAGACCAATCAATGCCACATGGGCTCTTTTCTTCCCAGTGGTTTTTCTCTCTGTGGGCAGCTCTTTCCCTCTCAGCTGATCTTACAAGGCCCTCTACCAAAGGAAAGAAGACACAGAAAAGAGCAGGCCTCATCCCAGACACCGACTTGTCTCAGAGGCCTCACAAAGCAGCCCACTGAAGGGAAGAGCACCCACCACCCCCCAACCCCCAGCCCTCCAGAGCTCAGAGTTCTGCTTGTTATCATATGACCCACTGGACAGAGAGGTCTGAAGGGTGGGGATTGCCCTCTAATGTTTCTGTGGAGTTTGGCTGAGTAACCAATCAAATGAGTCCTCATGGCCTTAGTACACCCCTAATACTCATGTAAAGCTCTGTAAACTATAAGGTGCTGTGTTAAAGGGCAGTCTACGATTATTACTGGGGCCTTTCCATCTCCCAACCTCACACCCTGACACCCAATCATCTTATTTCACAGACTCTCTGAGAAGGAAGGGAACTCAGAGGCTATCTAATCTCACCTGTACCTATACAAGAACCCCCATCATTAGCATGCCTGACAAGGATTTGTTCAGCCTGGGCTCTGCTTAAAGACTTCCAGCGGGGGAGGCAGTGCAACTGTTACTCCCAAGGGTCACCCAGCCACTTTTTGTGTGGCTGCAATTGTAAGGAAGTTTTGACTGACATCAAGCCTAGATTTTCTTCTTTGCAATTCTTACACAATTACTCTGGGGTTCTACCCTCGGGGGCTCAGCAGAGCAAGCTCAATCCTTCCATAGAACAGCCCTTCAAATATCTGAAGACAGTGATCATGCCCTGGTTAAAATTATACTCAGGTACTGGGAACAGGATGAGTAATCCCTCCCAGGGGTATTTCTGGATTTAAAGAAGATGCGAAGAAAGAGCAATGTTTAACTCAAAATAATGAATCACCCACGGTACCCTTTTAGACATCACTTCAAGTCAACAAATTGGTTTTCTGCTAGGTGTGAGGCATATGCTGGGGGATTTACAAAATGTGACAAAATGCAGATATTCCCCCCTCCAGGAGCTTAGAATTTAATGTGAGGAGGATAGATCATCAAGTAATAAGCATTTATTAAGGCTTACTGTGGGCCAGTCACGATGGTAGACCAATACAAAGAATAAATAATACAATGCCCACTCCCAAAGAGCGTATGTTCTATTGGAGGATAAAAATAGTACGGAAGTACCTGCAGAATAAATGAATATATGAGAATATATATATATATATATATATATATATATATATATATATATACATACATATGAGAATATGTATGAGAATAAATACAAATATACACAAGGTAGATAGAGAAGGGGGGCATTAGCAGTTGATGGGATCAGAGAAAGTGCTGAATAATGAGTTTATTAGTCATGTTGATCTGCTTGAGCTCCCTTATTACCCAGGAAAAGCCAAAATGACTTGGAAATCAGAATCAGCCAATCAGGAGGTGGAATGAGTGTTCGAGTTTGACATACCTGTGATCCTTTGCTGTGTCCACTGGGTAAATCTGCAACACCTCTGCTGGGCCAACAACCACAGGGCCAGCTCAAACTGGTTCATACTGGCCCCAAACAGACAGAGTTTTCACAAACATCTGGGTGCTGGGTACTCTGCATTCCTCTGATTTTCTTACCTCCCTTTGTTGTAAAACCATATAGATCTCTCCCTGAGCCCCCAGTTTTTGGAGCTGCCAGGCCAGGTCTCCTGTTCCCGGCTCACAAGCAAGCTATACTCACCTGCTTCAGGGTTTTGTGCTTGAATTGTGCCTCTGGTCCCTCTGTTCAGGTGGACACTGTACCCCAATTAATCATTCTGCCACAATTAATCAAAAGCTGCATGTAGATTATATTTGAGCTGTGTCTTGAAGGGATTCTATGAAGTGAAGGTGAGGAGGGCAGAGGGTTTCAGTGTGAGTGGAAAGGAAGGGACATACACAAAAGGTATTTTGGAGGTACAATCAACAGGGCTTCTACCAACTTTTGGTTGACTGGGTACAATAGTGAAATCATCAGAGGAAATCCAAGTTCTGTCATTTACTCTCTGCATGACTTTAGGCAAATAATTTAACCCCACTGGATTTTATTTTATTCATCTTTAAAATGAAAGGGTTGAGTTATATAATGGAGGACTGGCCAAGGGAGGGTGAAAGGGCAGTCTTTGAAATAAGTACAACTATTCCCTGCCTGATTTTAGTCCTTAGAGTACATGCACAGATATTTTCTTCCTGGTTCTAATCCAATCACGTGTGGAAGAATGGTGAACCCACTTCCTGCCCATGAGTGACTGAGGAGGTGGTATTACAGAGAAAGGAAGTCTCCTGGTTGCTTCTGGAGCCAAAAGGATTGATGATTCATGAATTGTTGAGCCAGAGCTGAGTGTATATGAAAGGAGTCATCCACCCCCTCCATTTTTATTTCTTTTCGTTCTAGGAGACAAGTGAGGCAGAATTTGCTGTGAATGACCAGGTTGGTGATCAGCAGCTGCTCTCTCTCTCCTACCTGGTTTGCAATATGTCTGTGAGTACAAATTCACTATGTTTCTTTTGTTTATTCTTTCCTGATATTAAGTAAATAAATATTTTGTGAGGGGATTGTCCAGGTGACCAGGAGACCCATCAGAGCCATCAAAGATCTCACTTGATCCACAAAGATCCTGAATGGAGTCAGAACAGAATCAACTGGTGTCCAACAACAGAAGGAACATTTGAAGACAGAAGAATAAAAATAGTTCCCTGAGGATATCAGCCACTTCAGGGATTGTGACTTTTTGTGACAGAGAGAAACACTGGCTGTAGACTCTGGAAAGACACTAACCCATGGAGCCCAGCAAAAAGCTACGCATGACAGAAAGCTCAGAAGGACTCCACAAAGAGACAAAAGGAGTTCTGGGGCCAGGAGACAGGACCCTTTAATCATACAGGTTCTCTATACATATGTGTCACAATTGTGCTTTAAGCTTGAGCTCACTCTCCATAAGGACTTTATGTGTGCAAGGGAAGAGTGTACCTCAACTGCTATCCTCACTATACCTTGTTAGTAAATCCCTTTTCTTTTTTTTTCCTATTAAATATATTTTCACATTAGTAATGTTGTAAGGAAGAATTAGAACCAATAGGAGGAACCACAAGAAAGAGAAAACAAAATAAAACAAGAAAAAAAATAGCAAATAGTATGCTTCGATCTGCATTTAAACTCCATAGTTCTTTCTTTGGATGTGGATAGCATTTTTCATCATGAGGCCTTTGGAGATCTCTTAGAGCCTTGTGTTGCTGAGAAGGGCTAAGTCTATCAATGTTAGTCACCGCACAACATGGCTGTTACTGTGTACAATGTTCTCCTTGTTCTGCTCACTTCACTCAGCATCAGACCATACAAGTCTTTCCAGGTTTTTCTGAAGTCAGCCTGGTCATCATTTCTTATAGCACAATAGTATTCCATTCCATTCATGTACCACAACTTGCTCAGCCATTCCCCAGTTTATGGGCATCCTCTCAATTTCCAGTTCTTTGCCACCACAAAAAGAGTTGCTATAAATATTTTTGTGCATGTGGGTCCTTATACTTTTTTAATGATCTCTTTGAGATATAGAAATAGGGAGTGGTATTGCTGAATCAAAGGGTATGCACATTTTTGTAGCCCTTTGGGCATAGTTCCAAATTGTTCTCCAAAATGTTGGATCAGTTCACAACTCCACCAACAACACATTAGTGTTCCAATTTTGCCACGTGTTCTCCAACATTTATCATTTTCCTGTTTTGTCATGTTGGCCATTCTGATAGGTGTGATGTGGTACCTCAGAGTTGTTTTGATTTGCACTTCTCTAATCAATAGTGATTTAGAGCATTTTTTCCTATAACTATAGATGGCTTTAATTTCTTCATCTGAAAACTGCCTACTCATATCCTTTGACCATTTATCAACTGGGGATTGACTGTATTCTTATAAATTTGACTTAATTCTCTATATATTTTAGAAATGAGGCCCTTATCAGAGACACTGGTTGTAGATATTCTTTCCCAATTTTCAGTAAATCCCTTTTCTAAAAGTTAATGAAACTCAACTAATTCTGATGGATAATGGGGAGCAAACTAGATGGGGGCTCATAATCAACAGTGCTAGAAACCCCAGACTCTTCAGCACACCTCTAAGGGAATAGTATCTGCCACCTTCTGAGGACTTGGCTGGCAATGTGAGCAGGAATTAACAGTTATATGGCCTTGAAGTTCCTTTCCTTTCTAGCTCTGTTAGCTATCCTATGACCTTTCTTTGAGCGGAGGAAGGCAGGATGGGAGGGGGAGAAGGGAGAGAGTAGTTCCTAACCCCTTCAAATCTTACCACTAAGGCAACCATCTACTCATCTTACAAGGATAACCAGAACAGCATGAAACTTGGCGGCAGAGTTTACAAAGGACCTTGTCAATTAGACAGTGACTGGCTTATCTTTCAGAAAGTGCATCTGTGAGTAGATTATACTTTCTTTCCAGCTGGTATATCAAGGTGTTGGTTGCCTACTTTTAAGCCAAGTGTTTGGGAGAGGTTCTATTTCACAGGGTATCTGATGCCAATGGAGCCTTTCTGGATCAGTGACAGAGACAGAGAAAGGTCACACCAGCTAAAGGTCTGAGCTTTATAGTCAGCACCATGCATCGCCGTGTACCGTCTCCACAGATCTCCAAGCTGACCTCGCCAGCTCTGCTCTTTTGGCAGCTTGACGTATCATATCTAAACATATTCTCACGTCCTTCCTCAGCTGCTATGCACAGCCTCTGAAGTGACAAAGAAGTACCTTGGTGGAACTGGAAAGGCAGCAACTGATCCTTTTATTTATTCATTCAAAAAGCATTTTTAAGTATCTACTGGATCGAAAACACTACACTAGGCCTTGGAATTTTAGAGGCAAAATTAGAACAGTCCCTGGCCTCTAGCAGTTTACATTCTATTGGGAAGGAATAATATGTACAGATGAATACAATAAATAATACATACAGGTAAATAAATACAATACATACACAGATAAATAAATACAAGATACATATGGCGTAATATCAGGGGGCAGAGGAGGACACTAAGAAGTGATAAGGAAATTTCTCATGTAGGACATAGCACTTAAACTATACCTTAAAGAAAGTTAGGGGTTCTAAGAGCTAGGGGTGAGGAAGGAGTGCCTTCCAAACCTAGAGCACAGCCTGGACAAAGGATTGGAAATGGGAAATAGAAGGCTGTGCATAGATAACACAGAGTGTGCCAGTTTGGCTGGGGTGTGGAGATAGAAGTGGGAATGATGTATAATCAACAAGAAAGATAGGCTGAAGCTGAGACTGAAGGATTTTACATGCCAGAGAAGTTTGTATTTGATCCTAGGGGCAATAGGGAGACTTCTTGAGCAAGGAGAGACAGAAATAATAGCAAGGGAAAGAGAGAGAGAGAAATGGACAGATTATAGACAGATAGGTAAAGAGATAGAACAAATAGAGATGATAGGAAGGAAGATAGATAGATAAATAGATAGATAGATAGATAAAGATGATAGATCAATAGGTAGATAGATAGAACAGATAGAGATGATAGGAAGGAAGGAATAGAGAGAGAAAGAGAGAGAGAGGAAGATGCTAGATAATAGATCAATAGATAGATAGACACATACATATGTGTCACAGTACCTAGTCCAAGGCCTTGCATTGTGGGTTGATTGACTGATTGATTGACTTTGCTATCTAGCTCTCTGATTTGAGGCAAACCACTAATCCTTATTGTCCTCAGTTTTCCATTTCACAAAGGAGGAGTTATCACTAGAAAACATATAACATTAAGTTTAGTGCAGTGCTTGGCATATGCAGATATTTAATACATAATATTTCATTCATTCATTAAAAAGTCCCTTCCGCATGTCAAGTTCCATATTAGTACACTTGAAGAGCAAGCAATAGTCTCACCACCCAGGGGTGCCCTTTCAGTGATCAGAAACTTGGAGACCTAGGAAGTGGGCATAGGCAGAAGGAGGGTCTGAACTCCATCAGAAGTGGTCTCTTGCCCCCAACACTGACAGGGAGAGACTAGCCCTGATGACAGCAGTCCACAAATATCCTTTTTTTCACCTCATCTCTCTTACCAACAAGGGCTACATTCAACTCAATAGTAAGGAGTGAGAGTATTCTGACTCATCCCTTGGACACCCTGGAGTAATCATCATCATCATCATCATCATCATCATCACTAACATTTGTATAGGCTTACTATGTACTATTCACTGTGTTAAGCACTTTACAGACATCTCATTTGATACTCACAACAACCCTGGGAAGTAGCTATTATTATCTCCGTCTTACAGATGAGGAAACTCAGGCAAACAACGGCTAAATGACTTGCCCAAGGTCACACAGCTAGTAAGTAACTAAGGCTGGATTTGAACTCAGGTCTTCCTGACTTCAGACCCAGCACTCCATCTACCGTGCCATGTAACTACTACAGGACCTGACTTCAAAACTAATTATTTTATCAACAATTTCCAATTTTAATATCCTAGTCAAACAATTTCAAGATTTGAACATATCTATTAATCTCAATGTTTACAAATAAAACCCTGGGGTTTTTTTAATAGTCATATTCACCCTCAACTCAATTTGATGCTAAAGTCCAAAATTAACACAAAACAGGGCAACACTAAAGAATATAACAGGATAGATATTCTTGAGTTATTTATCAAACAAGGAGAAAATATACAAGTTTCAAAATATTTTTAAAATACAGAAATATAACAAACAGTGCTTTTTCTTTTACCTAGTGAGTGAGCCTTTGGGTAAGCAAGAGAGAGAATCTGCCACAAAGTGAAACTCATCTGGTGTGATACTCTGGCAGCAATTGGCCGCAATTGCTAGAGCATTTCTCTGGACATTTATGCTGAAGAACTCCAGACACAGCAGGCAGTCTGCCAACCCTCCTTACAATACAGAAGCATTTTCTTCCCATCATGGTGGGAAGAAACCAACCCCACCATATCCGCTCTTCTTCCATGATAGCACTTACCAGCAACAATTCCCCCACCTCTCAGTTCTCGATTCTCCCAGACAGGGCTTGTGACGCTATAAATCCTGGGAAAGTTTCCAGGAAGCCATGACTGAAGTTTTCTGCTTTGCTACTGACTACCTATGTGACCTTGGAGAAAGTCATATCCTTGCTTTAGACCTCAGTTCCTTACCTATATACTTAGCCAACAATCCACAGCATTTATTAAGCACTTACTATGTGCCTGACATTTTGCTAAGCATTGGAGATATAAAGAGAGGCAAAAACAGTCCTTGCCCTCAAGGAGCTTACATTCTAATGGGAGAGATAACATACAAATAATTGTTTGACAAAAGACATATAGTATCAATAGAAGCCAATTTCAAAGAATAGATAACTTGTAAGGTCTCTAAATCTATGATTTTTTGCCTATGTTTCTGCACACTAAAAGGAGATGGTGCCCTAGGAGTGATCTTGGGCAAGTATTTCAAACTCTGTAGAGTGGTGGATAGAAC